TTTTTGCAAAGTTTGGTAAAATTTTGGTGACTGCATATACTCCTGGAAACATGACCACACTCAAGATACAGATGTTTCCATCTCCATAAAAACTTTACCTGAGCAACCATTGTGTCGATCCTTCCACCGACCCTTGCCCCAGGTGGCCACTGATCTGTTTTCTGTCACTATAACTTCGCATTTTCTAAAATTCCATGTAAATGGACCTGAGATTCTTTTGATAGGTCAGTGAGATAAAACTATTTTCATAATAATATAAAGATTTCATTTTCCTTTGTCATTCTCATTCTATGAAGAATATACAGTAGAATTTTCCAGCAGCTACATATGTGATATTGTGACAGATGAAGATTGAATGCAGAAGCAGATAAGAGAATCCTAACATCTTCTATTAAGTCAGACATGAGAGTTCAAAGATAAAACCATTCTTCTCACTAAATTTTGTTAATTAAATTGAGCATTCTCGTCAAATTAAAGAAGTTATTTTTAATTTAAAAAGGATGCTATTTGTATTGACGTGTAGTTTATGTGTTATTGATATTTTAAAATGAATTAGTAACTAAACATTTAATGTTTTGTAGTTTTAATTTCTACCATCAAAAATGTTTTCAGGGCTTCCCTGGTGGTGCAATTGTTGGGAGTCCGCCTGCCAATGCGGGGGATATGGGTTCTTGCCCCGGTCTGAGAAGATCCCACATGTCGCGGAGTGGCTGGGCCCGTGAGCCATGGCCCCTGAGCCTGCGCGTCCGGAGCCTATGCTCCGCAATGGGAGAGGCCACAACAGTGCGAGGCCCGCGTACCTCATTAAAACAAAAAATGTTTTCAATGATCAAATTCCTATTCCAGTAGGTCCTCATTTAATTTCATTAAAAGCTAAGAATAAGAAACTACCTGAGTTGTAAAAGGCCATTAAAAGGCCATTGTCATTCTCAACAACAGCACCAGTATTTGAAATTCTTTGTTTGTTTTGTGTCCTGGGGGTTTTCTATGACATAACACTTTTCCACAGTGAGATCAGTGACAGATGAGATATAGGTCTTTTTTCTGTAATGTGAGAAAAAAGTGACTACGAAAGGAGAGGAAGAAATGTAGTACATGTTCTCAGACAGATCTATCTTAGGAAAGTCCATATGTGGGATGTAAATGTTGAAACTGAGCCCTTAAATCCATCTGTGTGCCTTTAGCCTTGGGAAGTTTTCAGATTCCCCCAAGTGTAGCATACCCAGGAAGACACCTGATCTCGATGGCTTAGCTGGCAATTATATACCTGCACTAATAATTAAAATATATTGAGGAAGACCAGGGAGAAGATGTGGGGCTGGAAGGACAGGTAATTTTAATTGGTTTGAAGGATATTGAAAGTAAACAAAATGAATTTCTACAGTGGTTTGGAGTTTACAGAGCACTTTCATGTATTACCTGTTTTGATCATCTTGTTAAACTTGTGGGGTATCTATAACAGGTTTTTGCCCCCATTTTACAGATAAGAAAAATGAGGCTCAGAGAGAATGCTTTTTGATAGAGGGCTACCTAGGAAATCTTTTGATTAGCACTTTTAATTAGTATCACATGACATTAATGGCAAAGTATTTTTTGAAAATTAAATCCTAATTTACTCTTATTTGGCTATAAAAATCTTAACAATTCATAATATGTTATTCAGCTCTGCAAATTTGAAACACTGTGGCTAATAAATCTTTAACCACTAGTAAAATTTTAACCACCTGAAAAACATAACATGGAATATATTGTGTGGGTATATATTTAGGTTTTTTCCATACTGATGGGGCTGACTCAAATATAATGAGGAATGTTATTAAACCTATTCATATCTTTCCTATGTGGGACCTCTACTGTAGTTTATAGTAATCCCTCCAACTCCCTCCCACTCTGAATGAACTGCAGTGGTCTGGGTTATAAATTTAAATCAGATTAAATTCTACCTTTTAGGCTTGCAGAGCAAGAGTCTCAACTTTAGTGGATACTTTTAAAATTTTTATTTTATTTATTTTTTTATATTGAAGTATAATTAATTTACAATGTTGTGTTAGTTTCATGTGTATAAAAGTGATTCAGTTATATATATATGTGTGTATATATACATTCTTTTTCAGATTCTTTTCCATTATAGGTTATTACAAGATATTGAGTATAGTTCCCTGTGCTATATTGTAGGTCCTTGTTGTTTATTTTATATAAAGTAGTGTGTATATATTAATTCCACACTCTTAATTTATCTACCCCCCATTACCCCCTTTGTTAACCATAAGTTTGTATTCTACGTCTGTGAATCTATTTCTGTTTTGTAAATAAGTTCATTTGTATCATTTTTTAAGATTCCACATATAGGTGATATCATATGATATTTGTCTTTCTCTGACTTACTTCACTTCATATGATAATCTCCAGGTCCATCCATGTTGCTGCAAATAGCATTATTTCATTTTTTTATGGCTGAGTAATATTCCATTGTATATATATACCACATCTTCTTTATCCATTCATCTGTCGATGTACATTTGGGTTGTTTCCATGTCTTGGCTATTGTAAATATTGCTGCAGTGAATGTTGGGGTACATGTACCTTTTCAGATTATAGTTTTCTCTGGATATATGCCCAGGACTGGGATTGCTGTATCATATGGTAGTTCTATTTTTGGATTTTTAAGGAACATCCATACTGTTCTCTATAGTGGTTATACCAATTCACCTCCCACCAACAGTGTAGGAGGGCTCCCTTTTCTTCACGCCCTCTCCAGGGTTTATTGTTTGTAGACTTTTTGATGATGGCCATTCTGACCTGTGTGAGGTGACACCTCATTATAGTTTTGATTTGCATTTCTCTAATAATTAGCAATGTTGAGCATCTTTTAATGTGCTTTTTGGCCACCTGCATGTCTTCTTTGGACAAATGTCTATTTAGATATTTTGCCCATTTTTTTGATTGGGTTGTTTGTTTTTTTGATATAGAGCTGTGTGAGCTGTTTGAATATTTTGGAGATTAACTCCTTGTGGGTCGCTTCATTTGCAAATATTTTCTCTCATTCTGTGGATTTTCTTTTCGTTTTGTTTATGGTTTCCTTTGTACAAAAGTTTTAAAGTTTAATTAGGTCTCATTTGTTTATTTTTGTTTTTATTTTCATTATTCTAGGAGGTGGATCCAAAAAGATATTGCTGCAATTTATGTCAAAGAGTGTTCTGCCTATGTTTTCCTCTAAGAGTTTTATAGTATCCAGTCTTACATTTAGGTCTTTAATCCATCCATTTTGTGTTTATTTTTGTATATGGTGTTAGAGAATGTTCTAATTTCATTCTTTTACATGTAGCTGTCCAGTTTTCCCAGCACCACTTATTGAAGGACTTGTCTTTCTCCATTGTATATTCTTGTCTCTTTTGTCATAGATTAATTGACCATAGGTTCATGGGTTGATTTCTGGGCTTTCTATCCTGTTCCATTGATCTGTATGTCTGTTTTTGTGCCAGTACCATGCTGTTTTGATTACTGTAGCTTTGTAGTATAGTCTGAAGTCAGGGAACGTGATTCCTCAAGCTCTTTAGCAGGTATTTTATCAGTTTCATTTCTTACTCAGGCATACCAAATTAATGATTAAATGCCATAATCACTAGCTCTGTGTATAAGCAACTTGAGGACAGACAATATGAATTATAATTCTTGACTTCCACTGCATATTTTAGATGCATATGTAATTTGCTTTTAATTTGAATATTAAAAATTAAATTTGTGGCTCTTATGGGATAGAGTGGGTCATAAGGTAGTTGTGAGGAAATTAGAACTCTTCTTACACAGCTGGATGTCCACTCCCATGACTGCAGCATTGTCTGCTTCCAAAGAAAGTCTAGACCAAGAGTACCATCTAAGTATCCTGAAGTAATGGAGTTTCTGAAATTGTCCAACTTGCTTTCACCCGCAAAGAAGAAAAAGAGTCAGTTTCAAAATACATTTTAATATACATATCTTCTGGGTCTAAGGTGGCATAATGTTATATTTTAAAGATAAATTTATCCATTTAATTAGTATTCTTTTTCAGAAGTCAGTATTCTCCAGGAAGTGTATATCTTCTGAAATTTCAAGAAAAAATTTTTAGGTAAACTAAGAATTAATTTCTTCTGATACTCTCCAGTATGTCTCAGTCTATTCCATAATATGATCAATGAAAAAGATTCTTATGTATCACCACATTTGAGGTGGCTTAGTTGAAAAAATTTGAGACAGCTTACTAAATTCCTGGAAGAAAAAGACACTTTTTAAATGTAGGTAAAGGCATATTGAATTCAAACATTTTTTACTTGAGATCAAAATTTATTTGGAGCAAGAGTATCAATAGCAAACCATTCTTTTGTCCATTTGGATATTTGGAACATGTGGGTCTGGACATCCTCACAGGTTAAATGATTATCTCTGTTGGTACTAGAAGAGCTGATTTTTGCAACATTTCTTAAGTCCCATGTGAGGGGAGTGGCACATGGGTTCATGCACTGCAGTAGCTCTAGTCTATTGCTAGTGGCAGCTTGCAACCTTCTGAAACCTCAGACCTTCCTTATGTTAGGCAGGTTCTGAGGCTCATCCATGCTTAGTGAGTGGAAAAGAGTATCTTGATTGATTAACTGTGTCCTGTGTGTGTTTGAAGGGTGCGGGGGGGGATGGGAAATGGAGAACACTGTCTGTTTCCAAATATTTCCAGCTCCGACCTAACATGGAAAGTAAATTATGCCAGCAATTAAATGTCTTCTTTCTGGATAGATCCAATAGGGTTGGTAGCCCAGTAAAAATACTCCCTCACATTGCTGGAATCAAATGTGAGTGAGTAAGGGGGCTCCCTGATATTACTGGGATCTGTATTTGTCAAGGCAAGACAAAGAACTCCTCTCTCACTCTGCAGATGACTTTCACGTCCCTGGGGCACTTTCCTGGCTTGGAGAACTTACCTTTTGGTGACCCTGTGGTGGTTTCCTCAGTGGTGTGTATGCCCCTTTGGATGCCTACGGGGTGGTCTCTGCAAAGTCGTCATCTGTGCCACTGGTATTTGGGAAGGGGCCCTCTGAGGTTCCCCGGATGGCAGGATTTGCTCCTGCTTGTCCTGCAGGAAGGATTCCATTCTGGACCTCTGGAGTAGCCTGACTGGTGGGCAGGATGGCTCCGGGAAACAAGGGATGGAAGATAAATCCTGTTAAGATTTGGGGGGTCACTGGCTGGAATGAGAGAAGGAAATAGAAAACAAAGTCAAAGGAACACATTTAAAAGGTGGTCAACCAGCTTTTTCTTCCTTGAGGGCAGCAAGTTTGGGTAGGATTTACAGATGGAGAGGGTAGAGTCAGAAAAAACAGTAAAGATCGAGCGTTCCTCAGAGGAAATGCCTCCCTCTCCCAAGCCAAGCCTGATGCTGTTTTCATTACTGGGATTCCTTGCTGTGCTCCATTTCCTCAGAAAGGGAAAGCCAGAATCAAGCCAGTCACAGGAAGAGGAATAATGCATCATTTGTTCATATCAGGTGTATCTGGAGGTAGAACTAAGGGAGAAAATCCATACAATTACAGGGGGCTGCATTTCTGTTATTGACCTAAAGCATCGTCTCTCCTTTGCCCATATTTCTTTTTAGAGTAATTTAAGAGACTAAAAATTAATGGAAAAATTAGTTCAAGTAGATTAATCAATTCTTATCTCATGCTTTTCACCCCTTCAAGTTTCTTTTGATGTATTTTTCAAAGGCATTGGAATATTCAGTAAGAAACGTTTCTTTTGGCAATTCAGCCACTGGTGTATTCCTTGAGGTTACTCAGTGGATCTTCTCTCTTTTGGACAGTCAGTGATTTGCCCACTGGTAATGAATGTTGTTGCTACTTACACTTGTTGTTGTTGTTTTTCCCCGGGAATAAATTACTGTGAAAAGTTCTTCCTAAGAAGTAATAATTTGAAATCAGCTGGTTTTGGAGAGAGTTCAGGCAAGAACCAGTTCTCTGGGACCTCTCAGTTCTGACAGCATTCTCACAGAATAAAAAGCATTGAGAATTCAAAATTAAGATATAGGTCCGTTTCTTTGAGTGTGGATCTCAATTGTTAGTTTGCATAAGCACCATCTGGAAGGCAGAAATACGCATTTTTAACCAGCTCTCCAAGTTGTCCTGGTTTGATGGTCCAGGACTGATGTTTGGAAAACACTGTCTTAGATTTATGAGGTATTGGAACCAGAATTAGACTTATGCTGAGTGAGAGATAGGAGTAGAGTACAGAAAATTTCAAATTGGGAGTTGGGACTTTCATACATATGAAATAAAGAAAGTGGCTTCCCTTGTGGCGCAGTGGTTAAGAACCTGCCTGCCAATGCAGGGGACACAGGTTCAAGCTCTGGTCCAGGAAGATCCCACATGCTGCGGAGAAACTAAGCCCGTGCACCACAACTACTGAGCTTGCGCTCTAGAGTCCTCAAGCCACAACTACTGAGCCCACGTGCCACAACTACTGAAGCCCGTGTGCCTGGAGCCCATGCGCTGCAGCAACAGAAGCCACCACAATGAGAAGCCCACGCATCGCAACAAAGAGTAGCCCCCACTCGCCATAACTAGAGAAAGCCTGTGCAGCAATGAAGACCCAATGCAGCTAAATAAATAAATAAATAAATAAAATAAAGGTGAGTGGTGCCCATCATTAAAAAATAAGGCAAAAATAATAGACTATAAATTACCAGTGCACTATATATACTAAGGGTAAATATTTGTTCATAAAACGTGTGTGTGTGTGTGTGTTAGTTACATAAAAAATATAGCCCTTACTGTGAGTTTCACCAAGAAAAGAAAAAAAAAGAAAAAGAAAACCATTTTTCTATCCACTAGTATAGTGGATAGAAAAATGGTTTTCAATCTGGATTTACTTTTATTTTTTTGACCTTCGGACCTAATTTGCTTAAGCTTTCCAAGCCTCAGTTTCTTTTTATATAAAGTTGGTATCTCTACTCTACTTTGTAATCTGGTGAGGATTAAAGGCAACACATGTAAAAAAATCTACTAAGGTGCCTGTTTTATAGAATCGGGTCAATAACTGGTTGATATGGGTATTCATGTATCAGTGTTGGCAAAACAGCCCTGTTACTTGATTTTATTTATGGACAGTCTAGCCCTGTTACTTGATTTTATTTATGGACAGCAAACCCCTACCTTTTTAATAATAGAGTTTTAAAAACTATCTTCCCAGATATTGCCTCAACTCTTTACTTCAGTGTCATGTTTAGATACCATATTAATTCAAATATTTTTTCTCTGAAAATGACTTATACGGAAATGCATAGAAATGCCTAGTAATGGTACTATGAGTTTTATTTAGGGTCAGCCCTCTAGTTATTCATATGTATAGAGAAGAGTTCATTCATCGCCATAAGATGCTAGAAAAATAATAAATTTTTCTATAAACCTTAAACATCTAAGTCAAAAAATTAATCCTTCCTGCGCTAAATATCAATATGTATATTATTCTAAATCTGCATGCATTTCAGTAACTTACAATCCTACATTTTAATCAATACAAAGTTTAAAACTATGAATTGGCTTTCTGGATAGAACTGAATCTGACATCAATATGTGGAAAAGAAAAGCTAAGTCAAACTAATGGGGATAAGTAGCTGGAGAAGGATGATGAAATCCCCAGCTAGACAAAAGCTAACCTAATGTGAAGACCTATAAAAGTGTTCAGTTTATGATAGTATGCACCAGATTTAGGGGTTGTGGTCAAAAGTGGCTATATGACGATAGAAAACAGCATTGTGGTAGCAGTGAAAGGAATTTGAAATACTAGTAATTAATTTTTCTTTTTACCAATTCCTCTGAGCTTAGGATAGCACCCTAAAAAGAAAATAACACAAGTTATTAGACAGATTTTTAATATATTTGAAGCAAGGTTTAATATATTTGAGGCAATATATATATTATATATATTATAATAACTTAAAATAGTTATAAATATTATAAAGAGATATGTATTTATTTTCAACAATAATTTAAACTGCCTTTGTGATTTGTATCACAAAACTCAAGTTAGCACATGACATTGAACTACTAACGTTTATTATTTGAGTGATGGGAGGTCTTCTGCATTACAGAAGTTACATGTTTTCTATAATTAGGTAATAGATGCACATGAGGGGAGACTTGGAAGATGCAGAAAGCAATAAAAAAAATTCCGTCATGCAGAATGTGATATTTTTTCTTGCAGATGTTTTTCAAACATTTCTTTTTTACATACTAGAAGTCATGTAATTTTTACAATGTGTCTTACCTTTTCTTTTAATACTACGCAGCAATCATTTAACCACATTACCAACAAATTTTAATAAATATAATTTTGAATAGTCACAAAGTATTTGCTTTTATGTTGTACAGTTTACGTAATAATTTTCCTTTTGTTTAAATGTAGGTTGCACCTAATATTCTTCTCTACCATAAAATTATTTTGATGAATTTATTTGTAAATAAACCTTAGCTGTATTTCAGATTATTTCCTTGGAATATGTTCCCATATGTGGAATTAAGATTTAATATGAATTTTATACTTGATTCTGCTTTTAGAAGTAAAAGCTGCCATCTGATGTTCATATTTGATCTTGGGTCTTGGTAATTTTATCAGTGATCTCAAGAATTACCTTTCACAAAGGAAAATAGAGAGGAAAGTGTGTCATTTTTAGGGAAAAGATATATAGTTAATAAATAAATTTGAGATAAAAATCCCCCAAATCATTAATTATTAGATCAGCCCATTAATTTAATATTTTCTTAAGAGTGTGGTTTAAAGGATTGACTGGTTGCTTCATCTGTGACATTTACTAACTGTGTGATTGTAAATAAATAACTAACTGTAAGTATTGCCAGTTACTCATCTTCACATTAGAAATAAAAATATTGTCTATAAAAGATTGTTTTGAAAATTAGATGAGATAGTACATAATAAATAAAAAGTACTAGAACAGTGCCTGGCACATAGTAAGTGCTCAATAATTATTCTTGTTATTATCAGTGTCCATACAGTGCAAAGTAAATAGGAAACTTGGCAACTATCTGGTGAATTGAGATAGGATGAAATATTTCACACTAAGATGATTTAAAATAAAAATCATTTTACAAAATAATCCTACCTGGGCTCCAAGGTGTGCTACAATAACTGGTAACACCTGAAAAAAGAGTGAAAGACGTAGGAAAAAATATACTAAAAGGTAAGTTCTGGTAGTGATATAAATATTGAGACTTTTAAAAAGCATACAATATTTACTGAATAGATATTTGTTTAATGTATCATCTATGATCATATATATGGACTCACAGAGCAGGATGGGAATTGGAACTCATCCAGTTTGTAAAAAGAAGATTAGACCCAGAGATTTAGAAACCAGTCCAAAGCAGCACATGTAAAAGGTAGAAATTAGTAAATTGGATGAACAAAAAATAACTTTGATTTCAAGCTATCCCCAAACCTAAAATTATTCCAAGCAATCGTGTTGATAAAATCCATGTGTTTCTTTTATATGACATCTCAGAAGATACATTAAAACATGTAATGGATACTTTAAAATATCAAGATTTCTTGAAGCATGTGTACTTAGTCTCATAATGGTTGCCTGGATATTTTGATATTAAAATAGAACACTGGAAGGAAATTTTGGCTGATATTGTTCAACAACGCTCATCCTAACAGAGTTCTTAGAGCTAAGTGAGAAATACCACACTGGTCACGGAGAACTGCGTACATGTTATGGATTTGTAGTTGGAAAGATCTGGGTAAGGTGTTGGTGTGCTCTAGCACTCTAAGAACTAACCATGGGGTTTGTCAGAAAGAACTAGGGTTTTAAGGTTTATTTTTATTTCTATAGAATCTCATAGAGTGTCACAAAAGTTATCAAAATGGGACTTTTAATATTCCAGACCTAAAAGATTTGAAAGTCTTATAAAAAGACTCTTAACTTTATTATTTCTCAAGAAGTTTGTACAGTAGCACCTATAATGCCAAAAGGTAAAAAGTACACACATTTAAGAAAAAGCCTTACTCTCTGTCAGATCCCTGGCTACTGACCAAAAGCAACTCATCTTCAGGGTGGCAATGGAAAAGTGGATTGAAGGGAAGGGACACAGGATTTGGGAGAAAACAAAATTGAAATTTCTTCTTTAAAGGCAAATTGGAAGGAACAGAAAGATACAAAAGGAAACCACAAATGTCTAAGTAAAAAACGTAAGAATTAAGTAATGTAGCACCAATGTAACAAGGAGAAAAAGTGTTAGTTTTTGACAGAGATACTGTTTGAAATAATAATAGCTAACACGTATTGAATGAGTACCATGTATAGACACTGTTCTAAATGTTTTATGTAGATTTACTCATTTAATCCTAACAGCTCTAGTGGTAGATTCTAATTAATCTCTATTCTATATGATGAAGAAAGTGAGTCACAGAGGGTTAGGTAACTTGGCCACGTAGGTAGTAAGTGGAGAGCTGGGATTTGACCAGAAGTTTTGGGGTTCTAGAGTTCACTCTTAGCCACTCTGGCCTGCCTTAGATAAAAGAACGCTGTGGGCAGCTGCCCAGGTTTCTGGCAGGGATGTAAGGTCCACTACATAGGGAGAGATAGGGTCGGAGGGACTGGGGCTGCGCAGGAGAAGGCATGTGTGGGGACCCTTGGTGGTGGCATAGCCTAGAGACATCGAAGAATCCCCACAGAGAACGAGGATTGATTTATATTATTGCATGTTGGGGAGCGTGCAATGTCGAACCGTCTCTACTGAATCTTTAGTAACATCTACAGTGCCCACTTATGCCTTTGACTCTGGTGGATATATTCTTTGGTGGATATGAAAATGTACTAAGCCTGACTTCCAGGTTAGAGCAGGCCAGCAATTGAAACTGAACCTGGGCAATTGGCAGATGGATTACACCAGGGTCATGTAGTAAAGAGATTCTCATTTTATTTGCTACTCTCTCTAGTCTTTTTCTGAGGATCACTTTTATTATTAAGATATAAATAAGCAGCAAATACTTTGAGTGAAGGCTCTAATATATCTGTAAGGAATAAGTAATGACTGATAGACAGGCATACACATCAATATTAAAAAAAGAAATGTAAAAATTAGTTATGTTACATATTTTTACAAACATGAATAAATGAAGAAGTATAGAGTTTCTTGTGTTGTTATTTTGGACAAAAGGCACAGAAAAAAGTATTAGTTGCATATGATATAGAATTTAAATTGAGCAGCTTAAATTAATTTTGTCAATTAAACTCAGCTTTGATTATAATTACTAATTAATATAAGCTTGCTACTATAATTTGGATGTGTCCATAGTGGTAGGAAGATGGTTAAGGTATAGTCATGCTTCATTATTTGGGAATGTGTATTAAAAGTCTTACAGTTCTGAATATCTTTGGACCCACAAATTCTATTCCTAAGAACTGGTCTTAAAGAAATAATCACTGAAGTGGTCAAAGACTTAGTCAAAGGATGTTCACTGTAGAATTGTTTATAGCAGCAAAAATTTTGGAAAAAACCCCAATTTTTGCAATATGATGGAATACTAGCAATCATTAAAAACAATGTTATAAGTGATTCACAATGTTATAAGTGAATATTCAAAATATAGGAAAGACTATTCAAAATGTATTAAGTGAAAAAACTAGATTATAGAGCATCAGATATCGTAAGAACATATTGTCTTTAAAAAGTGTACTTATATGAATAGAAAAAGAGTGGAAGGACATAACCTAGAATGTTGACAGTGTTTAATTCTGGCTGGTAGGCTTATGGGTAAATTTTATTTTTTCTTTTTCATTATCTGTGTTTTCTAAATTCTCTATAGTTAACATATACTATGTATGTAATAATCAAGAAAGCTTCTACAAAAAATTAGACCATTACGTGGGAATGATAGGGGCTGAGGTCATGTGTTAGGGAGAATTAGTTAACAGTAACCAATTTAGTCATAAAGGGATCATTATATATTTCTCTAGAGTAATTTAACTAGAGAAGTTCCAAGAAGACAAAATTTGGACTTTGCAGTTAAAATGCAAACACTTTGGAAAGAGGTGATGTCCTAAGTATGTCATTTATATCTTCATGTGAGGGTTTTTTTGGGGGTTTTCCTGAAAGCAAATAATGATGGCAGGAGAGAATGAACAAGAGAACACTTGGGGACTCGAGAGGAGTCATGAAAAAAGCACACAAAAAGGATGAGATTAGATTTGCTGGAAATAAGCTTTATCCATCTCTTATTTTTTCTTTGGAATGATTTTGGTCACCCAGAAGGTCTTCAATAGAAACAGAGCAAGCTGGAGAAGAATCCTGATACCTCTCAATCCCCCCGTTTATTCTTTACTTCTCGATCTTCCCCAACTCTTCACATTTCCTGTTACCTATTACAAATGTATTCTAGAGAGGTTATGGGGCAGCATGCTGTTTTCTGGGTGTGTTCTCATGGGATTTCAGCAAGAACCAAATTCTCAAAGACTGCTTTAAATTTAGTAGGACATCCCTCTGCAAATTATCAGGGTAGAACTTTAAAGAACCTTGAAAATATTCTTTCTTCCCCTTTAGGCTTTCACCTGAGGGAAAATGCTCCCCATTTTTAAACTTAGTAGGTCTTTGAACTCACTTGTGGTTGCAGCTGCTGCTGTACCTTCAATCCCCCCAGGGTCAGTGGGAGGGTCTGGGTACCAGGTGCCATCCCTGCAGCAGGATTTAGCTGTAGAGCAACGAGGAAGATTTTCATTGTGTTCTTTCAGTTCAAACATCCAGGACCCGAATTCATATTTAATAAATGTAAAAGGGAGGATTTGCTATGCAAATATATAGTACACTACACTGCATTTGGAATTAGATATAGAAATGAAGTTCAAAGACTTGTTTAGTCTACTAGTACAACAATCAAGTCCAGGACTAATTTTCTCATATTAAGTTTTTCTTTGGCATTTAACCCATTCTCCTGAGGATTATTTAAGTGATTCTATATTTGCCTTCCCTTTTTGGCTGTAACAGCAAGGGTTCCTGGAATTTTTCTGATGACTTTCTTATGAAGGACTGAGTTCCTTCATAGGTATCCCCATGAAAATTGTGAGGCTCAGAATAAAGTATCTAGTCTGAATATGGTCTAGTACTATATTTAAGTCAGACCAGTGAAAAAAATCCATTTTAAGCAGGAAAGAAACATTATTTTATCCCCCAAACAGATTAAACTATACAGATATTCTATGAAAAGAATGTAGATATTTCTACCCCTTCTTGTTTGCTCTTGTTTTTGGGGCAATGAGAGTAGTCATAGTGTTTGTGTGTGTATGTGTATGTTGTATGGGCCATGAGGAAGATGTGTCAGAGGAATGGGGAGGGGAGCTCGGAGAGGAGGTGAGAAGAACTAAAGACTTAAGAATTAGATTAATTCCTTTAGAGATTCTCTTGCTAAGAAAATTTTCTAATGATGTATTGAATAGCATTCAACTCTCTTTGACTTTCCTCTGTCACTACAATAAATATGTGTGCATGTGTACATCTATGGATACACACACACACACACATACCCTCCACATTAGGTATTATTTTTATTTAACAATGGATATTAAAATGATAAAAAAGAGTACTTACCAGTTGCAGGTCTGACCCCAGTGTGAGCATCTGTGTCAATGGAATTAGACTTAAAGAAGGGAAGACCTGCAGGGCATTGAAATTGATGTGTGAGACAAGAGGTTGTCTGGTTTTACAGTGCTGTCAGTGGAGGATATCCTCAAGTAACCTATACTCCAGTCACAGGTGGATTTACCACGAAGGTAAAGCTTCAGGGCCTCTCACTAACATTGCCCCCTTCCGTGGCCCTAGGAGGCACTCTAGCAATGTGTCAAGTTTAAGGTATTTATCAGCTTAAAAATATGTAATTTACTCTTATTTCTTATCTAATTATAAATTATTCACTTTAGTAACTAATTTTACATATCTAACTTTGTATTATTTTTCAAAGAAGGTCCCCAGAGCTTCTAGTTCCTTAAGGAGGGAGGTCAGCTACTGACATGAGTATTGTATAATGTCCATAGACCAAAAAGAGAACTTTAGACTGGTATTATTGTACTATTTCACAAAGTCTAGATGTAGGTAAGGAGAGGTCCTATTGAACAGAGGAAGGGTGGGAAGAAGGGGGTGGGTAGCCAGGAGACCATGCAGTTTTCATATGTACTTAAATATGTTTCAAAGACAGATTTTACAGTAACACATCAGCTCATCAGCAACAATGAAATTTAAGAAAACCACGAGGAAATCTGCAATTATTTTTATAGATTACTTCTTAATCCCTGCTAGTTCTGGCAAATCCCATACATGATTAAGTCACAGTACTTCAAGGGCATAGATGACCAAGCTGTTTCAATAGGTGTAGCTATTGCTTTTCAGAGTTTACTAGATTTGGTTGCTAAACCAAATTATTATTCAGACAAAAAGAAAAAGAATGAAGATGTGTTGTTTTCTTGCTCAAAGTTTTGAAAACAAGTATTTTCTTGTTTTTATTTTCCCCCAAATAAAGCTTTTCTCTCTGTTGCTCAGTCATGAGACTTTGGCTGAATCTTGATTTTAAATCCACTAGTCTTAACATGTTTCCTTTGCTGATCTCTAAATGTTCCCCATTGTAGGACTCTTACCTGATTTGGCTGCTGTTGGTTTAGCAGTGTTGCCTGACCTGGAACGAGCTTTGTTGGAGGAACTACCAAAGCAGGGTTGAGCTGCATCTGTGATAACAAATTTTTGCAGAAGCAGGGATGTGTTTGAGGTTTTGCATCCATTTATTTCCAGGAGGTAACAAGTTGACCCAAATGCAAAAACATCTGTCTTTAGTCTCTGTGTGTTTTGGAGCAGTTTTAACTCCGTGGAACATTTTGTGCATGACAGGAGATGGAATTGTGGAGCAGAAAAGTGCCAGGTCAGGAGGGGTGCTCTGGGGAGGGACAGAGGGTGAAGTTAGGCACATGGATTTCTGGAGGTAGTTCCTAGGTTCCCATTTCTTTTCTGAAAGTGCTTTCCTCCTTTTCCAGGACATGAAATATATAGTCCACACCTTAGCTCTATACACATTTGCTTTTTCCCAAAGCTTGAAGGTAAGCTGCCATGATTTCTACTGCATTTTCACAAAGCTTCCTAATTTTACCTCGTGCCTGACAAGTCACTTCCTGTAATGGAAATTCTGTCCCCTTCCTGGCCAGGGTATTTTCCTAGTGTATTAAGAATAACTGAAATTTAGGGGTAAAAATCTCCTTGAATCCATATGATCTAGTTGTATTGTTTTATAGAAGAGGGAAGTGAGAAGCAGTGTCACCTGCCAAGATGATATTTTGAGTTGCAGAGCCTGAACTAGGATCCCTGCAAGTGCTTTTGGTCCTTGAAGAAATGAATCCTTCTATTTGTTTTTCTTTGTATTCCATCTGCATTCAGGTGGAAGCTCTCTGGCCAGGTTGACTCTGGTTGGCATTTGCTCCTGGCTGCATCCCCAAGGGCAGTGTGCTGTGGGCCCCCCAGCACTGCATTAACCCTTGGATCACTTGGATATATCCTGGAGCTACCAATGACTCTTGATTTCACTTTGGTCTTTTCTCTCAGTTGTAAGAGGTAAGATTGGTACTATCTGTCCTTAGGAGTCCCTTTAAGCCTTAAGATTATGTAAATATAAATTCTGCAAATGTGTTTTCATCCACTACAATCCACTGTCAGCATGGCAGTCAGAGGGATCCTTTTAAAACAACAGTCTGGTGTGTTTACGTCTTTGTTCAATCCGTGGCTTGACTTCTTTTTCAGCCAGGGACAATACAATGGCCTAAAATGCCCTCAGGCCCTGGGGCCCCAGTGCCTCTCTGACCTTAAATCCTACCTGATTTTCTCTTGTTCACTCTCCTACTGTTATTTAGGCTCCTTGCTGTCTCTGGGACACTCAAGTCTGCTTCTTGCCTCAGAGCCTCATCTTCACCTGTTCCCTCTGTCTGGAATGCTTTTTCCCCCATCGTTGGCTCACTTTCTCACCAGCTTCATGTTGTTGCTCGAGCTCACCTTCTTTTTGAGGCCTAGCCTGACTATTCTTCTGAGTATGCAACCTGTCCCATCTCCAGTGTGTACCCTATTCCCAAACTTTTGATTTACTGAAAGCAATTGCTAGGCTGCTTTAAGTGTTCGATTCATTTTATATACCTTTATGATAATTCAATAAATTCATGTACAAATCATTTTTGAAAACCTTGTCTATGTGTCCTGAGTTTTATTTAATAAATACCAATACTATACCTAATAGACATTTTAATGTTTCTTCCCACATTCCCTGCACCACTGTTTCTAACTGCGCTCCCAATCTGCATTAACCTGCACAGCACTCCTCAGTCTGCTTTGAATGATAGCTGTGCTCCAGGAAAGTTTTATTTGTCTTGAGTCTTTACAAATTTTATAGTAATTTAAATTCACTAGAGACACCTTATTTAGAAGAACCTTTTGACAACCTTCTTCGGTGAAGCGCAAAATCCATGTTTTACAAAGAATTTAACTTCCTAATTTACCTTGTTTAAACATCACATTTTTGTAGACAACTTCTTTAAAGGACAAATGTATATTTGTTTTTGTTTTTGTTTTTGCGGTACGCAGGCCTCTCACTGTTGTGGCCTCTCCCGTTGTGGAGCACAGGCTCCGGACATGCAGGCTCAGCGGCCATGGCTCACGGACCTAGCCGCTCCATGGCATGTGGGATCTTCCTGGACCAGGGCACGAACCCGTGTCCCCTGCATAGGCAGGGGAACTCTCAACCACTGCACCACCAGGGAAGCCCGACAAATGTATATTTGCAATGAAATAAGAAGGAGGTTTGTTATTCATGTTTTGTTCCTTCCCCTTCCCCCAAGATCACCCTGTTTAGGTCCTTCATAGAACTAATCATGGTTATAATTTATAATTTAACATTAAAAATATTTTTTTGTATCTATAGCCCTTGTAAACACCACAAAGGATCATGCCTTTTTTTCTTACCATTGTGTCTTCAGGAACTAGCACAATATATGGTATACAGAGAGTTTTCAGTAAATATTTGCTGATTGTATGGATGAGTAAGGAAGTGTTAAGTGAGCTTGAGGCCTAACTGAGAATTGTTTCTTTTTGTTCTGCTAATTCACAGTAAATATTAAAAATTTTTTTCTTATTGTCCACACTGAAGCATCTCAAACAAAGGGAAAGTCACTTAGAGACCCAAACCACCCATATTATGTCTATAAAATATTGAAGGACAGTTGGAATACACGTTTGAATACTAGTGCTCTTTTTTGTTCAAAAAACTGTTATATATGAACAGGTTTTGTGATGAAATGTTCTAAGTAAAAAATATTGACTGCTTTCTAATATTCCCTTACTATTGCATGATTTGGTAGACATTTTAGAGTTTATACAATCTAGATGTTTCATGCTTCCAATTAGAAAAATCAGAATGTTTTAGTTTACATCTTTGGTCATGAGAAAATAATTAGTTGGCAAGAAAATCTTAACTTCTTTTTGGAAGTAGAATCATTATCCACTTTGAGCAGACATAATCTAAAGCATTCCTTTTTCTCCTAATTTCTACCCTATTTCTCTGCCAAAAATAATCAAAATCAATTTATTATTCAAAATAAATCAAATAATCAATAATTTATTATTCAAAAATAAATCAAAATAATAATAAAAATTAATTTATTATAAAATTAGTCCACTCAATCCACGATAGATTGGATGTATTTTAACAATGTAAGTACATTGAAATATGCAGTAATACTTCATTAGTTTATCATCTTTCAACTTTGAAAATAAAAACAGGAAACTAAAGGAATGGGTCACGGAGCAGTTTTAGCAGAGGGCAAGTAGAGAGAGGGGTGCAGCTCAGGCTGGTTGGTTCATAAAATATACATTTTGCACTTACTGGTAATGACAGAGTTGATCCTAGAAGACAAAACAGGAGAATCCTGGCCTTCATGTTCAAATTACTACCTGAAACAACAAAATAGTGTTATTCTTTCACACTATTTTTTTCTTTTTGAGACAAGGTGGTACTTGAAAAAAAAGAATGCTCTATTTGAAACATGGTCATTTCTGTTACCTTTTTCTTCACTAGGCAAAATGTACAGGTGAGACAATGTGCAAAGTCCAGTTGATTTCTCTAGTTTCTATGATGAAAAATTTTACCCTTTCATGAGCTGTGAGTTTGTAGTAGGAATTTAAATTTGACTCCAGGAGGCTGGCAACTGAGGGACCAATGAGGACTTAGCTGTCTGTGAAATCATTTGGTTTCTTTCATTTCCCAACACTTCATTAGGTGAGTTATTAGTGGCAGACATCATATTACCCAATGTCTACCATTTGAATAGAGGGTATTTCAGGAAGATATACCTTGTGTAATTAAAAAAAGTTCAGACAATGAAAAATTACAATCCTTCTTCACCTCCATCTCCTTCCCAAACGGCTTCCCAGACATCCCTAGTTTATCATGTATACATGATAAATCAAACATCAAAATATAACTGTGTATGTTAAAAAATAAGACCTATTATGTTTATTGCTCTGAAATTTACTTTTTTACTTAACAAATAATGGATGACCATATATGTCAGTACAGATTTAATTTCATGTATTTAATGACTACATTATATTACATTTCCTTTTGATGGAAATTTAATCCATTCCCATTTTAATTTGTAATTATAAAAGTGGTACAATGAACATCCTTATAAATTTTTTTCACACACGTGGGAGTATTTCTGTAGATATTATTCCTAGAAGTACTGTAGTAAAGGATATGTATGTTTTAAGTTTCAATAAGTATGGCCAAATTTCCTTCCAGAAAAGTTGAATGGTGTACTTTATTTTAAATGGGGAAAAATCTACTTTAATCTAAGCAAAATGCAGGGATCCACTGAGGTTTCTTTCACAGAAAGAACAATGAGGTGCTCACCATAGGTTTTCAGGTCCCCAGGCTTCCCCTGGAGTTTTTGAGATATGCCTCTTCTCTAACGATTTATATATGGATGGAGGTGGGGTCTGTTCAACAAATTTTGAGTCCAATCAAAGATAAATCTGTGTCATGCTAGGATTTCACATGGAAGACCATCTTAGTTCCTATTTTTTGTTGGCCATTCTGTGCTGAACAGGGATCGAACATGTGCCCCCTGCAGTGGAAGGGTGGAGTGTTAACCACTGCACCACAGGGAAGTCCCATCGAAGGCCATCTTAGATTTGGCTAGTTTTAGGGGACAGAATGTCTGTCTGAGATGATGAGTTGTTCCCAAAACCTTTTCTGTAATTATTCATTACACAATCAACTTTTGTTATTGTCTGGTAAGAATGGGAGAAACACAAAGGGTAACCCGTATATGCTTGGTAAATGTAATCCTAGGAGTATTCACAGGTACGAAGGGGAGCGTGGTTAATTTTGTTGGGGACAGACAGCAGAGAAACCCAGTAGAGGAGGTGACCTTTGAACTAGGTTTTGAAGAATAAAAATAATCCATTCATTAAGAATGCAAGGAGAGTGGAACAAGTGTTTACATATGAAGGAGAGATGTTATTGTTGCTTATCACTGGAACCAAATGAGGTGAGGCTAGCAGTGAAAGGTTGGAGAGATACCTAATTTTAATCACCTGTAGTATTTTTGATTGTTTGCTTCTATTATTTATTTTGGCTCTTGATCAGACATTATCTCACACAGCTCCTTCATTATTTCCTGACTGTATGTTTCTCTTGAAATAGATGGAGAGTTCCTGGGGCCTTGTCTTATATTTCTTTAGTGTCTTCTATATTAATAACTTTGTAGAGCAGCAGATGGTCACTGCATGTTGATGGATAAATGGTAGAGGTATATACTCTAGGGAGTTGGAGCAAGGTAGAGTTCAGAGAAGAGATGAGACTTTTAGTGGATTTGAAGGATATATATGATTGATGGGACAGAGAATAGCCTGGTAAAGAAGGTGAAATTAAGAGGAACAATGAAACATAAGAGCTGAAGTATGTGGAAGGGAAGCAACTTTATGTTCTCACAGGCTTTCATAGATATATTCATTCTTTTTTTTTTGCAGTACGTGGGCATCTCACTGTTGTGGCCTCTCCCATTGCAGAGCCCAGGCTCCGGATGCACAGACTCAGTGACCATGGCTCACGGGCCCAGCCGCTCTGCAGCATGTGGGATCTTCCTGGACCAGGGCACGAACCCGTGTCCCCTGCATTGGAAGACGGATTCTCAACCACTGCGCCACCAGGGAAGCCCTTCATTCTTTTGCTCAGTCAATTCATTCTTCCAACCCATTATTTAGCATATATTCACTCTATGTTTTGCTAACATTGTTTCAGTTCCTGGGGATAAAACAGTGAATGGAAGGGGCAAAAATCCTTGCCCTTAAAGAGCTTACATTTTGTGGGGGAACATTAAATAGTCAAGCCTCATTGAGTAGGGGGGAGCCCACCACACTGGGGAATCCCCTCTCCCCTGGGCATTATTTTCAGTGAATGTGTAGGGGAAGGGGCTTCCTTAAATATATATATATTTTTCTTTTTTGGAAGAGGCAGAGTTGAATTTTATGCCACTGTTTTTCCTCGGCTTAGGTGAGGAGACGGGTTCTATTCCCAATCTAGAGTATGGTGCTAATGAATAGCTCATTTGAATTGAATCACTGTGTGACTGTCTGGACATCAGGTGATTCAGGGAACTGACAGTGCATTAAATGCCTGTTGCAGACATGTCTCCAGCCCCAAGCTAGAATGGGACATGCCCTAGCTTGGAAAATGAGCAGTCAGTAGACTTTGGCCAAAATAAACAAGGGAAATTAAGAAGGGTGAGTAATTTCTTAGACAAGGAATTTTAAGTTTGAAAGCTGATAACTTGCAGTAATATAATTATGGAGGTGTGTGTCAAGAAATATATACTATAAAAGGAGAAAATTCCTCAATCATTCAAAAACTGAGAGACATCGCAAAAACAGTGAGGTAATTTATTTTTCTTAAGTGACTTGATATGAGGATTCATTAAAGTGTTTTGTGAACTACAGGTGACACCTAGCCCTGTAGGTCTAGACATTTCTTGATGTTTTTTATTGGTTTTAGTTTTAAGTTTCTTTGGTTTATGGAATATTTTGAGAATCTGATTGAATCTATACACCATCTCCTCAGAAAAAAGGCACATATGCCCTTGAACACAATGTGTATCAAACAACACATGTGTTTCATGGATGTCCTGAGAGCCTAACTGTGAAGACCTAGGTTAAGAGTCTCTGGTTTAGAAGAATCCTGGTGAAACCTCTTTTGTGTGACCCCTGAACTTTCTAGGATTTCTCAAGCCAAGTGATGTACCCTCTTCCCAACTCCATTACACCCAATGGATGTGGGAAGATAGGAATTACCCAGACACAAGGCACTCTTTGTGAATCCCAGTCTAAGAGGACCTGTTCGGCAATGAAAAGATAAAGTAGACTGGAAACCTCTTTTTCTCCTTCTACCACTTGATCATTCAATCACAGTATTAAAAGGATTTGAGACACACGATTGCTATTTATTATTGTGATATTGTGATAACGTAATTGAATAATTAAGTAAATCAATAGTTGGAAACTGCAGTCAGCATTCCCTGGTGCAGAATAATTCCAACAACACCTATTAAATATAAACCTAAATTGCTCTAGCCCAGACATTGTACTAGATGCTAGGGTACAAAAGTGAATAAGACAGAATACCTGCTTACATTCTTATGGGAAATACGGCCAGTATCTATCACTGCATAATGTGAAGGTGAAATGGAAGTATGCACTGGATGTCAGAAAAGAGCCTTAGTGGATTTTCATCTTGTTTCTCTAAATTTGTTCATGATATTCCCTCTGCCTGGAGTCTCCCGTTTCATCTCTGGCTGTCAATGTTCTACTCATTCTTAAAGATCCTTCTTTATGCCACAATAGTCATTGTCTTTCTGCCCCTAATTTGGAGTCAGGATTTCTTTTCCTTCCCTGAAACTCTATTTTAACTAATGAATTTCATATTTATTTTATTCTACTTTGGCTGATGCTATAGTTATTTGTGTTCTTATTTTGAGATATTAGGTTTAAAGGAAGATCTTGTGTCTTGTTCATTTTGTATTCTTTGTACAACCCAGCAAAGTATCTTGCATGTGGTAGAGCAATAAATATGAGTTGAATTGAGTTATCACTTGCTTGACTTTGTAAATTTACAAAATTCTTTAAAATTGTTGACCAGTTCATACTACCCAGAGGAAATTAGGGTATATGCTTGAAAACCTTCTGTAGAGCCACTTTTCTATGGAGTGGTTTGATGAATGTCAGAAGGACAGCCACTGAATTAAGTATATCTAAAATTCTACTAAATAGAAAAAACTATATAGGTTTATTACTAATCTCTTGAAGTTTTTTCAGGTTGGGTATCAGGAAAATATGTCCAGACTTCTTGGGAGAGTGGGTTGGCCATTGGTCATAGGTGATAAAGTTCAGTATGTAATGTCGTTAGAAATACTGGATACATTATATCAAATTTCCACATTCATCAGGGTTGAGCTCAACATGTTGTGGTAACATTGTACTCTGTTTATGTGGGAAAATTTCAACTCACCATTAAAAGTACACTCTTATAGATTTAAAAATAGCAGGCTTTGTTGTAGATGATTTTTCAGAATGAGAAAGAATGTCCTGCAAATGGTCACAAATGAGGATGCTGAGGGGAGAAATGAGAGATGTGGTACTAGTATAAGGATTAATTCATGTTTTCAGTGTTTGGATGGTGGTATGATGGTTTAGATAATAAGGTTGTGGAATGGTGTTGGGAATTTACGTAGTTTCAGAGTCGAAACAATACTGACAATTAGGTAGTTACTTTCAGTTTTGTAGGAGTATCAGGAAAATATATAGTTTTAAAGGGAAATGCAAGGTCAGTATTTGATTCTGTGGTGCCACAGGAGATTCTGTGTTTCAAAGTTAGACAAAGAG